TAGACTGACAAATACTACGCGTCTCGCCTGCAGTACCTTACACCGACGACGACACCCCGCTTGATACCTTTGATGTCAAAAGCATATGTTCCTGATGTGTACCACAAATATTCTTCCTCCCTGAGAGATCTCTGAGGACGTGTCACAGAGACTACGACACGAAATACTAAATTACTTGTTGTCTCTTTGTATAAGAAGTACGGTTTCGACCTAACCTTATTTTTCCTTTGAAGACGAGCAGTTGGGAAGGAGGCCAGGTGTAATATGTTCTATGTATGCGTACTAACTACTTCTATATTAGTTTTGTACATAAAATAATATTCTGCAATCAGGAATTGTGGATAGTGACACATAATGTAAGTTTAAAAAATTAACTTGTTGGGTGTGTCGAGTCACTTACAAGCTGCGAGATAAAACTAGTAAAGTTCATTTTTGCGATGCAAGTATAAAGAAAAAACTAATATATAGACACTTCAGTTTGTTCGGAAAACGTTGAATGTGTACAAAATTTACGAATTATTCGTGCATTCAAAGACTGATGAGTAGAAGAGGGCAGTATCTTACAACAAAGGTGGCACTTTACTTGGCCTGCTGACTAACTCGCTGGTCTCCAGAGGGGCGTTAGAGGGCGCCGACGCGTTTACTGGAGACACGCCAGTCTCTTCTCCTAAGTCCTTTTGAATTCTCCTATCCACTATCCCTTAACCCCGTGACCTTTCACTTAAGCAATCATACACGAGAGGCCGCAGTACTGGAGTACCAATAATGACGTTCAAGAACGGCCTCAAGTGTATGATTGCGATTCTATTACACAAACTATCATTGTAATCAACAATATTGTAAAATAATTTCGTAATGTGGGCTAATTTGCTCCCAAACCTACGCTTTCTGCTTGAGTTAATCTCCGTCAGAAAGAAGTTCCTAGAAAGTAGTTCCCATGGTAACGATAGCCGATCAAACACTCCTTCTAACCCGCTTACAGTTATTGATATAATTATAGTAAATAATATATTATTTCGGTTTGGACACTGTTCCGAAATCCACCATTTTCTCCTGGGTTTTTAAAAACGCTTTGAGACATTTGACAGCCCAGGTAGTTGACGCCAATGTACTCTTTTCGTTGCGACTTTTTTCCAACGCACTCAACTCGTCAGTTGAAACAGCCGCAAATCTTTCGTTGGTTTTGTGGTCTGTGTCCATGTCCAACCATTCATCAATACTGAGGCCCTCCAACAAATCAAAATTAACTTTAAAATCTGACATTTTGTAGCTACCGATTTCCAACGAGAGACAATGTATAACAGTGTAACGGCTGTGTGTCGCTAAACGTCGCTATGGAAACCACACGATGTAGGCTCATGGAAGTAGTTTCGGTAGGCTAGTGGCGTGTGTAGGCCACTGGATACTTTGTGATTAGGCACGTTCTATTTGATCGTTGTCTGATCGTGGAATCAAACACGCCTATTGACCAATCAGAGAGCTTGCTCAAATCTATGTGTTATAGAATACAGATTTGAAAACATCGTTGCTTGCTTTAAAAGTAACAATTAATTATGTCAAACCTTGGAAAGTATCTAGATATCCCTGCCCTAATGCCAAAGGAACTGCACACTGAATATGTTTTGCCGTTTGATGTCTATGTCTGGACCGCTGCGTGAAAAAGAGAGTTTCTGCCCCGTTACTTCTCCGCTGCTTTCTTGTTTCAGTATGAAAAGCAAACTGCAGGCAGTTTGCTTTTCGAAGCGAGCAACGGAGGCAAAGCGACAAACTGCAGGCAGTTTGCTTTTCAGACCAACGGTATACTGTTTTTCTCAGACGCGGAGGGATACTGACTTGTTGTGAAAAGTAATTTACAATTCTACCCGTGGTATACGCTCAGTATATCAAGGCTAAGAACCAATCAGATTGCTTGATTTGACTTGTCCGTTTTATAAATAGATATACGTATATATTATGAAACCAGAGAAAAGTTTTCCTTACAGCTGCATGTTTCTTTAGTAAGTCATTCAAGTGTTTGTATGTAATGCACTTTTGAACTACTGGGACACTTTAATGTTCAAAAAGCTCTTTATCATTCCTCATACTGCCTGTGCTGCAGCACCTCTTTTCACCCTCTGTCTGAAACCAGAGCCCAGTCTGCTCTGATTGGTTAGCTGGCCAGCCTGGCCGACTCTTACGTATCGTCCACACGGTTCCGTCGCGTTGAAGCTTGCCGGTGGGCGTGTCTGGCGCGCGACCAACAACCAATCACATTAATCTCCCGCCCCGGACACACAAGCACGCGGTTTGATTGGCAAGCGCTTGTACTGGCATATGATTTGATTGGCTGGCGCTTCCTTCGACGCTTGAAAAGTTGAACTTTTCTCAACTTTCGAAGCGAGCAACGGAGGCAAAGCGACGGAACCACAATGCAGTTTGCCAAAGCTTGACGTCACCCCATTCAAAGTGAATGGGAAGCACGCGTTGAAGCATGCAACGGAACCGTGTGGACGTACCGTTAGCCCATCACGTACAATGTGTTGGAGCGCTAGCCAATAGAAGCGCAAGTTTTAAATAGTGATGTCATTATGTTACGGAAGTAAACAAAGGAGTCCAATGGAGGCGTTTCATGGGGGGGTTTTGTGCCTCATTTACATGGACAAAAACCTATACAACACACTACAGGAAACGGAGAGCCCGCAAAAAGCATAATAAGGCCTCTTTTGTATGAATGTACCTAAACATAAGCAAGTAATTGTGTTAATATCACATTAATAAACGTGATAAACAACACATATTTTAAATTTACTTTGAAATGGCACCATACTAGTTACAAGTGGGGTCTGTTCTTTTCCTTATAATTCAGACACTTATAAAATGACGCTGAATGTAACATGGAAGTTTATTTTGAAAATCAAGTATGCAGGTTACTGATGTAGATGCATTTCCAGAGAAAGTGGACGTTTTTTGTTGTTGTGAATACTAGTAACATAAAAGTCAAGTGTTTTTTATTATCATTTATAAATAGAAAAATAAAGGTTAAAATAAGTTGCTGTTTGAATGAACCTGCATCATGTCCACCTCATGAAGGTGATATATAGAAATAGTGATTACCATGAAGAAGACCAGGTCCATGGCTCCGCCCCTCACCGTCTCGTTGTACCGCAGCTGGAAAACAGACAGCCGCTCTGCCAGGACGTCCAGTGATGGGATTGGCTCATACACCTGTCATTATATATAGAAAAATAAAACATTATGCTAAGCTACATAAATAATGATTGCCAACATTTGGCAAGGCTCACAAGAAACCCATTTCAGTCGCAGAAAATATGATAGCTTTTGCTTCTTGATTAGCCAGAGCACTTGCGCTGTGAATTTAAGATGGTTTTCATAATTTCTTGTTGAAGATAATTTGCTGTTCAACAAGGAGCTTTGCTCGGAAATGTAATGCTCCACAACAACCATTTTTACATACAGTACGCATAAAGCAGAAGAGTCACATCTAATTCTGTACTAGTTTTGTACTACTGTGCCCATATTATATGTAGTTTACTTATATGTATATTTTTTTACTTTTTGTTATGGTTTCCATTAAATCATACTTTTTTAGTTTTCTGTATTTATTTAGTCATTTGAATTATTTAATTGAATTGTGTATATCTTACAATCTTTGTCACATTGAATGTTCTTATATGTGCATGTAAGTTATTTGAAATATCAATATAAATATATTGTGTGTATTCAAGTCTATTGCATTGATGTATTGTATTTCATATGGCTGTAATCTGCCCGGATTGAGGACCTTTGGAGCCTCCAGCTCTCCGTCCTCAGGTTCGTCTCCCGTCGCCTCCGGAGCTTCACGCAGGAAGTCTACGAAGAAGCTGTCCCACTGAGCATGCTCAATCACAGCTTTCCCATGATCATCTACTGTGATCTGAAAAGTAGGAAGGGGTTAGACAACAAATAACAGCTGTCAAATAATCAATCAAACTTTGCTTAGTGCAGATGGCAGACAAGTGTGAACCTAAAGAAACAGAGATATCCTTAAATTGAACAATTTAGCAATTTGAGACCAATGGGACTATACAAATTTAAAAAATGAAACAAAGTATATCTTAATGCTTTGATAACAGTATTAGTAGTTAAAAAGCGTTATATAAAAAACAAGTTACTTTCTTTTGTTCACTTCAGGGATATTTTGACCATTTTGCACATAATTGTAAAATACTTGCCTTTTATTATAAACGTTATTAATTGTTGTATTTTATTATTTGATTTTGATGTTCATGCATTACAGCATCATTTATTTCACTACACCTTTATTGTTGCTTTTTTGTTCATCAATTTGACCATCTAAAATAAGAACATAAATGATGTCTAAAAGGAAGAAGAAAAGGATTTATCAGTAGTATAAAAACAATATATAAACAGGCACACCTTCTCCATGATGCCGTTGAAGGTCTTTCTGTCGGAGTCGTCGATGAAGCGATCGGCGATCACTCGACAACATTCGTGATGGAAGAGAGCGGAGAGCAGCTCAGAGCTCTGACACACCTCCGACCTCACCGTCAGGATGCCCTGAACACACCACACACCAATAACTCAGCCCTAACTAAATACAACTATTGGAAGGAAGAATATTTCTGTTTAATGGTCAATCGGCAAATGCAGCACTTCAATACACACAGAATTGCAGATTTACAACTGACAACAAATAATACTTTATGAGACAAATTACAAAGATTAATTCAAAAATAGACATGTAAATGTACAGATCATGGCACAGTTATAAGTGACTCAAAATGGCTATAACGACATTATGATAAGGAGACAATAAATAAATAAAAGAGAAAATGATAAGAGTTTTTACTGTCAGATGTATGTAAGTAAAAATAGAAATGAAAATGTTCCCTTGTTTTCTACCTGCCAGATTCTGCTGAGGTCCCTCAGGTTGAAGATGTAGTGAAATTTAGCAGGAGACGGCAACATCTGGGGAAACACAGAGTAGCTTTAATAATGTGTTCACATTTGGTTAATATCTGCTGCATGTGACAGCCGGACAAACATTCAAACTAACAAAAACTCAATCAATCCCAAACACAGGAACCAAAGTTATCGTTGGAAATGGACTGAGGGTCAAATTGCTGAAAATAATTGCTGAGAAAATCTGGGAACAGGTGCTTCAGGCCTTCAGAATACAATAATTATCATTGTGCAAAATTATAATTCTGCACAAGGGCTTTTTTGACAATATATTACATTATTCATTTGTCAAAACCCTTGAATATTAAAATGTGAAAATACTACGACATCCTGTATGCTGCGCTTAATGCTCTTATAATAAACGACATATTAGATTGTGTTTATGTCAAATGTACAAAACATGCTGGTTGTCAGCCAGTACGTTATTAAAGAAGTTTGTTATAGTATTATCACTTTTAACATGACACTTATTTATTGATGCATGTGTGGATTTGGTACGTATTAGAATGAAATACGAAAAAAAACTCTTGCTTTTATTAACAGATTACTTTTCAATTATTAAATATCAAATAAATATATAATATAAATGTTTCCCAAAAAGGTTTCAAAGAGAATCAAAATCCTAATAATTATATATTTGATAAATTCAGAAAGAAGAATGTGTTTTTGAATTTCACAAAGAAAAACAAGTATTTAAGATAACATATTTTACCTTGGCCTTCACTGCCTGCCACACCCGTCTGGTGGTGGGCACGAGGGCGGAGGCGAGGGCGCAGACCCCGGGGGGGAAGCCCCTCTCTGGGCAGAAGTGTCCCCGAGCCACGGTGCCAAAGATCTTATCAATGGAGGAGTTGGAGGGTAGCGTGCAGTTGAAGATGGAGAAGTGTCTCTTCAGACGCTCGGGGATGTCGTTACGACCCCCGCCCGGATGGATCATGGCGGCCACCAGCTGGGGAAGGTTATTCAAATGTTTACTTAGTCCAGGTCTAAAAGTGTTTACAACCACGATAAAACACATTAAGCTAGCGTTTCTTAAACATTTGAAAGAAGGAGGAAGAAATAATTGGTCGATTTTCATATATTAATATAACTTAGACAGAGTTGTTGTAGAGAATAAATTGGCGTCTCCCATCAGTTTTTTGAGAGTGGTGAACCTTTTATTTTTGAGGATAAACAACGCAGATAATTATTTATTGAAGCAGAACATTTTGTTAGATAAAGGAGAGGATAACAACAATCCTACACAGCACACACTGGAATATCATTCTACAAACGTTTTTTTTTTAACAAAAAAACATATGTCAAACCTCATCTTTATCTGACACTGTGTTCAAATACCGTCTTCGATGACAAAATGTCTGACTGATGAAAATGTTTTTGTTGCATCTTGGATGACATTATTTGTGTGTGTGCTTTCACCACCTAACAATTATAGATAATTCATTTTAAAATCAAACTGAGGATGAAACATCAACATTTCTAATCATATTAAAAAAAAGAAATTCTGCATTTCCACTAAAGTAGTTTTTCTATGCCTATTAGTAGTTGTTTTACCTGAACGTCCACCACAGTGATGAACTCTCCGGGGCGATCCAGACTGTAGAAGCCTCCCTGCTCCATCAGCTGACGCACAATCTCATTGGTTATCTGAGGAGAACGAAGAAGGGGTTGAACACAGCTCTATGACGTGATTGGCTACTATTGTGTGAGGTGGAGGTGTATCAGAAGCTTATCTTAAAGAAAAAGCTGCCATTTTTCTTTTTTTTTAAATATTTTGGAATCAGAGAGCCGCAGTGACGCGTCCTTAAACCCGGAAGTAAACTTCTTCCGGTTCCTTCGTCTAAAACGCAATGCAATTTCTCCATAGGATTTTGGAAAATAGCTCGAAATAAGGTCTGTGGTTGACACATATTTAAGAGATGGATCACGTTTTGTTCAGCCGGATAATATCCACATGTCAACCCTACTTTTATAATTTTTGAATAATAAATCTAGTCGGCAGAAGCAAAATGCTAACGTTATGCTATAAACGAACTACAAGCCAGTACAGCAGCAGGGTCGCACGACTTCAACGTCACGCCAACTTAAGATCGTTTCAACTGACTTGCACTGAAACTGCACTTTGAAAACTTTAAATATATTAACATTTTAAACTGTATACCCCGGTTATCTAGGCCCGTTTTGTTTAATGTATACCACGTTTATCTAGGCCCTTTTTGTTTTATGTATACATGTCACACTGTGGGAAACGATATTTCTGGATGTATAACACATGTAGAATTTTTGACAATAAAGCTGAATTTGACTTTCGCGTGCTTGCATATTTTAACAAAGCTTTTCATTTTAGCCACACTGAATTTAACTAGAAGTCATGGC